AAATGAGAGGGCCTCCAGTTGGAGAGCTTATGTCTTACGTAAAAATAATCTTAACATGAGCTACTTTGCTCTTCGGCTCTTGCTGTAACTATCATTATGCTTTTTTGGAGAGCTTGTGACATTGTCCCCGTCCCCTTTTTTAAACCTATCCATTGCTTTGGCATCCGTAGTTTCCATTCTTTATGTAATTCTCAGCTCCTGCCTCCCCCACTATATCTTTCCCCCTGTTACAACTTTCTCCTCCGCTTTAAATGAGGGCTATTGCAACTGTTCGTTCGTCAACCCCTTTAGATTTTTTAAACACACCAAGAAGTACTGATTTCTTTTAAGTTAAGCCCTTTCCAAATCCCAACCTTGGAACGGATCAAAGAAAACCCATCACCCATTAACCCAGCCACCATGACATGATGTATTTCACAGATGCTAAGACACACATTTTTCACTCTTTAACATTTCTGAAATCGGGGTGCATTTTACAAACTGGCCTCAATATTGGCCAGGTGGCTATTATATTAACCTAGTTGTCCTTCCCTCCACACATAGGAACTTGAATGTAGCTGTTCACATTGTCCTTATTTCAACTGAATTAAGTGCATTTTTTAATATAATAAAGCCCACAGCCCTCAGAGGAGGAAATTAACAGGAGGAGGAATTAAGGGGAGGGAGAGACACAGGAGTCTCTCAGACTTAAAGGGAATTTTTCTTAGAAAAAGAGGGAAGATTTTCTTAGAAAAAAGCTGTTCACATTGTCCTTATTTCAACTGAATTAAGTGCATTTTTTAATATAATAAAGCCCACAGCCCTCAGAGGAGGGAATTAACAGGAGGAGGAATTAAGGGGAGGGAGAGACACAGGAGTCTTTCAGACTTAAAGGGAGTTTTTCTTAGAAAAAGAGGGAAGATTTTTCCAAGACCAAAAAGAGATTTCTCCAGCACTTACAAAAGAGAGAGATGGCACTCGCTACAAGCTATTAAACCGTGGGAGCCCTGAATTACTCACCAAGTACATTAGTTCTTAATGCACTTTGGAAACCTATATCTGAACAGTTAAATAGTAAGCCTAACATCCCCCCCAAAAAAAAGTGAAATTACATAGTTATTATTCCTGATGGTATGGTTAGTCAGTTACAACTGCTCTTAAGTTTTAGTCCAAACAAATCATTGAAGAAGGAAAATGAGTCTGGATGTTACCTGAAAACCATCCATTGAACTCTTCAGGATAGATCAAGAAAGTGCTGGCATCAAAACTTGAGGAATAGGATCTGCAGCTTGGAAAAAATCCTGGATTTGGTAATGGAGCACTTTTTGAAGGCTTGGTGCACCACCAACACTTTTGGTGGCACAAAAGACAGTACTGTATGGTAAACCACAGCCATTAACAATTGATTCAAAAAGTGATTTAGAAAAGTTGGAAAGTGAAGAAATTTGGGGAACACCATAACCAATTTTACTTATATTTCCTTTTTTATGCATGCACAAGATTGATACATAGCAGTCTGTATTTGAGTCTGAAACTGTTCTTTCACTAAGTATGAAATAAAAATACTAAGTTACAGGAAACCATTGCATGTTAGTTTGGTTGGCTGCATTTTTTTCCAACGTGACACTATCATGTAAAATTAGAGGAAGTGCTATCCTGCATCAGATTAGCAGTCCTTCCAGACCAGATTTCTGTCAAGTGGCAATGGGTGCATTTTCGACAGAGTTTAATTATCTTTAAGATGAAGCTCTAAAACTTGTAATTTCCCCCCAATCCTTTATTAATCCACTACAGATCTAAACCCATACATTCAGCAAATATTTATTTAAAGGACCCTAGGAATCAAGGTTGGGATTATATGTATTCCATTCCCTCCTCAGGGAGAAAAATGATCCTATGTGTATGTTATTTCATATTCTTTCTTCAAAGGAAGAATAAGAGCTTCTCTTTTATGTCCAGAAATCATTCCAATAATACCTGTATTTTGTGAACTGTGTAAGCTAACATTAGGCTAATGTCTTAAGGGAGAAGGCTATAGGGAAAACCTAGATCTCATTCCTGAGTCATAAAAGAATTTAGATTCCATAGGTTTAGAGTTTGGATTATATTTCCCCCAAGTTCTGTTATTGTGCCTATCTACCTATTCACAAGTCAGATCATTATGAAGGTCTTATCCATTAGCTTGGCATTTTACCTCTTTAAAGGGTATAATGTCATCTTTAAGGGAAAAGAATTCACGCATATGCCCCATTCAACTCACAATTTAAAAATTAATGAGAATGGTCACAAAATACATCCATTCATTTTATCTTGTTCTTGATTCTTTCCTGTAAGATATTTCCCATCCTTGACAAAAATTTCATCTAAAAGAAGAAGGAAGGGGCTTCCCTGGTGGTGCAGTGGTTAAGAACCTGCCTGCCAATGCAGGGGACACAGGTTCGAGCCCTGGTCCAGGAAGATCCCACATGCCGTGGAGCAACTAAGCCCGTGTGCCACAACTACGGAGCCTACAAGCCACAACTACTGAACCCATGTGCCACAACTACTGAAGCCCACGCTCCTAGAGCCCATGCTCTGCAACAAGAGAAGCCACCGCAATGAGAAGCCCATGCACCGCAACAAAGAGTAGCCCCTGCTTGCCACAACCAGAGAAAGCCCATGCCCAGCAACAAAGACCCAATGCAGCCAAAAATAAATAATAAAAAAAAAAAAGAAGAAGGAGGAAGGATGAGGAAAAGATAGTAGTGCTAATGTGTTCATCTTTCTGATTGTTGGAACAAGAGGTTCGTGAAAGGGAATGAAAGTTAAAGTATATAGCTTAAAGTTGCAGAGGTATATGGCGGACCGAGGTGAATGGCAGGGTAAATACGGGGAGGAGAGCACAGGGGGAGACAGTGCCCCAACCCCAGCCTTGTTCGAGTCAACTGCATAATGTCTAAAGTTGGCAAATCACTAAATAGCAATATAAGCCTATTTCTAACTAAGCGTACAGACGATCCACCAGAACTAAAGACCAAAAACATTTTTGCTAGTTGCTTCTGCTTGTCAGGAGTGGATGTAGACAAAGGCATGGCACCAGGGCAAGCGGCTACACTTTTAATATCATAACATTTTCCCCCAGATCAATTTAAAATTATGCACAGTGAGATTTAACATCTCTGTTCTAGTCTTCCCACCCTATTCTTCTTTCAGTCTAATCAGATCAACTCTATTCCACTTTTACAGTCTGTGGAAACACCTGTAATACACCTTCATACAAAGACAAAGCTGGAACATGTTTGGCATAGTTCGCAATAATTCTTGACCAGTTTTTACCATACTCTACTCCTTTCTCTTTTTTCTTTCTCTCCTTCCCCTCTTTTGCTTCCGCCTGCACATTTTTTCTTTTCCTTCCTTTTTTCTTGCTAGCAGAAACATAGGTTGTAGCCTTCAAAAACAGTGCTTTCAACTTCTGGTAATGATCAGGACCAAAAATGTCATTAACCTAACACTTGTTCCTTTCTTTTTTTTTAAATAAATTTATTTATTTTGGCTATTCATTGCTGCATGTTGGGTATTCATTGCTGCATGCGGGCTGTCTCTAGTTGTAGCGAGCAGGGACTACTCTTCACCGCGGTGCGTGGGCTTCTCTTTGCAGTGGCTTCTCTTGTTGCAGAGCACGGGTTCTAGGCATGCGGGCTTCAGTAGTTGCGGCACTTGGGCTCAGTAGTTGTGGCTCGACGGCTGTAGAACGCGGGCTTAGTAGTTGTGGTGCATGGGCTTAGCTGCTCTGTGGCGTGTGGGATTTTCCCGGACCAGGGATCAAACTCGTGTCTCCTGCACTGGCAGGCGGATTCTTAACCACTGCAGCACCAGGGAAGTCCCCTTGTTCCTTTCTTTAGCTCAAAAATCATGGCAAAACTTATGTTCTCTGGAGTTTTAACTTTAAAAAACACAATAATTCCTATTGGCTTTCTGTATGATGAAGTCATCAATATGAGAACTATATTCTTGAGCCTTTTCCTCTAAGCTCCCAGATGTTTTCACTGGTTGACTTGCAACAATATTAGAAGTATTCCATTGGAATACAGTTGCTATAAGGAAGAATTTAGAGGCTGATGTGAATTCCATAGACCCTATTTTTTAAAAATTCACTGGTGACATTTGATTATTTGGAAAGAGCTCCAGAATATATTAAGAGAAAAAAGCAAAGTATAATAATTTTGTGTTAGAGAAGGAGAACTAGGAGTATAAATATATACAGTAATTGTATTTTCACAAAGAAACTCAAATGAAACTCAGGAAATTAATAAAATCATTTATGACAGAGCTGAGGTTGTGAGAAATGGGAAAGATGACAGTGAAGAGAGTGAAATTTTTCTCTGGTGCTTATTATGTTATAGTTTATGAGTTATCTGAATTTTTTTCTATGTGAAATATTAGCTAAATTAAAATTTAAACTAAAGTAAATTAGACAATGGAGAAATAGAGTTCTGATGATGGACTCTGGAACAGGAGCCCGACTCAAGAGGCTTTTGGAGAAGAGGGTGTAGGGATGAAAACTTTGGCATCCTTGGAAACACCATTTATGGGTATTTGCTCCTAAATGGACCTCAGAATCCCTTGTACATGACCATACAGTGAATAACAAACTGGAGTCAGAACTGGAGTCATTTTGGTGGTGGTGGTGGTGGTGGTGGTCATTGTTGTCATTGCTGTTGTTTTTCAGAAACTGAGGGGCTGCTTCCCCACCTGAACCTGAGACTGCCAGAACAACTTGTCCAGACCACCAGGGACCTGAGAGCAGAGAGAATATCTGCTGCCTGGCAGCCCTGCGTGGGGCTTTCCAGCATCAAAATAGACGAACCAGGGCTTCCCTGGTGGCGCAGTGGTTGAGAGTCCGCCTGCCGATGCAGGGGACACGGGTTCGTGCCCGGTCCAGGAAGATCCCACGTGCCGCGGAGCGGCTGGGCCCGTGAGCCATGGCCGCTGAGCCTGTGAGTCCGGAGCCTGTGCCCCGCAACGGGAAAGGCCACAACAGTGAGAGGCCCACGTACCGCAAAAAAAAAAAAAAAAAAAAAAAAAATAGATGAACCAGGGTACAGAGGACCTTCCACCTTTCAGAAAGGATTTTGGCTCACTGTTGGAAAGGACCTTGCCGCGGATAGCATCACCCCAGCCCAGGAGTTCACTGCTAAAGAGGACTTCGCGTCCTCCTCAAGCTCTTACGCAGAATTACCCCTTGGACTCAACCCAGCTGTGTCGCTCCACACTTACAGCAGCCTCTCCTACTCCTCCCCTAAGCGTCTCCGGGACCATTTACAGCAATATCACCCATGGGGTGTCTACCTTCCAGAGCTAGCAGCTTACTTCCCCCGGGATCCTGCTATAGTCTACCCTGCCTGGTAAACTGTAAGTAACAAACCTTTCAAACTTTTGCTAATTTTACTGATAGGTATGTTAGTGATCCATTGCCTGCTTGTTTGCCTCGTAAAATACTGTAATAATGTAGTTCCCTACTGTTATATTTATTTTATTATACTTCATTTTATTGTGGTAAGAACATTTAATGAGATCCACCCTCTTAACCGAGAGTCAAGTATACAATACTGCATTTTTATGTGTAGGCACAGTGTTGCACAGCAGGTTTCTAGAACGTGTTCATTTTTCGTATCTACTATGACTAAGGTATCATCCTTACCGCCAAGCCTCTGAGAAATGCTTGAGTGCCACAGGGTCAGTTGTATTAACTGTACTGTCTTATTTAATGTACTCCTAATTCTCTGGCATTTGGAGCCTGTGGACACTGGGAACCCGCTCTCCAGGATTAACTACATCCAAGAGATAACAAGCAACTTGCCCGCCAGCAAAACTTTGATATGCAAGCAAACCAATTCAGAGTCCATACCCCCTTGCCCAGGCGGATCCTTTTATCAGACCTCTGCAGTCCAGGACTCTAGCCCCTGCCCTAATCACTGCAGGGCCAGGTGTGAGACTACTGGAGACCAACCTTATGGTCCAGGGTTCCTAGTAACTGTTCCAACTCTCCAATCATAGTTCCTGCTCTTGTTTATCTTGCCCATCCCCTCTGGAGAAAACCTCCAGAAAGGACCCTGCCCCCCGTTCACCTCTCTCTTCCCGCTGATCCTGCAGACTGTCTTCCCTGGTGGCCCTCCTGTTTCTAGGGGACTGTGAAATTAGTACAGGACTTCTTCCTCATCACAATTATTTTCGCTGCGCGAGTGTCTTACTATTTATGCTCAAAACAAATCCAGAGGGCTTCCCTGGTGGCGCAGTGGTTGGGAGTCCGCCTGCCGATGCAGGGGACGCGGGTTCGTGCCCCGGTCCGGGAGGATCCCACATGCCGCGGAGCGGCTGGGCCCGTGAGCCATGGTCGCTGAGCCTGCATGTCCGGAGCCTACGCTCCGCAACGGGAGAGGCCGCAACAGTGAGAGGCCCGCGTACCGAAAAAAAAAACAAACAAACAAAAAAAACAAATCCAGGGTAGGTTTTTAGAACAACTGGCACTGCATGGCAGAGTGGTTTCACCAGACGGAGATGGTAGGTCCTCGGACTGCTTGGCGCATCAGTGGGACCCAACGGCAGCAACCACTGCCTAAAGGGCACCACTGGCGCTTGGCTGGCTTGCTGCTTGATGGCTACTGCATCGCGTTGCTTTTTGTCGGGTGTTAGTAGTGTGATTTCCCAGCCTCAAATTGTTTAAGTGGCAAGACATGTCTTACTCAGGAACATAGCAGTAGTACGGGGACTTCTCTAATGGGAAGTGGAGAAGTCCTTAAACCCTTCAAAAAAAAATTGAGTGTGAGGGGCTTCCCTGGTGGCGCAGTGGTTGGGGGTCCGCCTGCCGATGCAGGGGACGCGGGTTCGTGCCCCGGTCCGGGAGGATCCCGCGTGCCATGGCCGCTGGGCCTGCACGTCCGGAGCCTGTGCTCCGCGGCGGGAGAGGCCACAGCAGTGAGAGGCCCGCATATGCAAAAAAAAAAAAAAAAAAAAAATTGAGGGTGAGTAGGTACAACCATTCTAGAAAACACAATGCAGTTTCCATAAAAAATAAAAAACAGAACTACCATATGATCCAGCAATCCCACTTCTGGGTGTATATCCAGAGGAAATGATATCTCACAAAGTCATGGCAGCATTATTTACAGTAGCCAAGACATGGAAACAACCTAAGTGTCCATCGATGGATGAATGGATAAGCAAAATGTGGTGTATAGATATATACAATAGAATATTATTCAGGGTTTAAAAAAAAGTAAGTACTGGGGCTTCCCTGGTGGCGCAGTGGTTGAGAGTCCACCTGTCGATGCAGGGGACACGGGTTTGTGCCCTGGTCTGGGAAGATCCCACATGCGCGGAGCGGCTGGGCCCGTGAGCCATGGCCACTGAGCCTGCGCGTCCGGAGCCTGTGCTCCGCAACGGGAGAGGCCACAACAGTGAGAGGCCCACGTACCGCAAAAAAAAAAAAGTAAGTACTGTTATTTGCTGCAACGTGGATGAACCTGAAGGACATTATGCTACGGAAATAAGCCAGACACAGAAAGGCAAACACTGTGTGATCTTACTTTTCCGTGGAATCTAAAAAAGTCTAGTTCATAGGAGCAGAGAGTAAAACAGTGGTTGCCAGAGGCTGAGGGTGGGAGAAATGGGGAGATGCTGGTCAAAGAGTACAACTCTGTCTCCTTGCATGGCCCTGGAATAAACCTTTCTCTGCTCCAAACTCTGACATTTCGGTTTGTTGGCCTCACTGTGCATCCGTCACACGAACTTGCACTAATAGTGAGTCACGGGGAGGTGTGTGTAGAGAAGCAAAGAAAGGCTGGGGGGCTTCCCTGGTGGCGCAGTGGTTGGGAGTTCGCCTGCCGATTCAGGGGACGCGGGTTCGTGCCCCGGTCCGGGGGGATCCCGCGTGCCGCGGAGCGGCTGAGCCCGTGGGCCATGGCCTCTGGGCCTGCGCGTCCAGAGCCTGTGCTCCGCAGCGGGAGAGGCCGCAGCAGTGAGAGGCCCGCGTACTGCAAAAAAACAAAAAAAAAGAAGGGCTGGGAAGCTAAGGGGATGAGGGCAGATTCAGCGTGGCAACTACAATGCTGCAGGATGACAGTTCAGCAGGCCTCAAGCAATTGGTGGACCGTGGGCAGGGCACCTCGTGGACCGTGGGCATCTTGTGGGCTGTGGGCATCTTGTGGACCGTGGGCAGGGTACCTCGTGGACCGTGGGCAAGGCACCTTGTGGACTGTGGGCATCTGGTGGACCGTGGGCAGGGCACCTCGTGGACCGTGGGCACCTCGTGGACCGTGGGCACCTGGTGGACCGCGGGCACCTGGCGAACCATGGAGAATTGGCAGGACTCTGGCAACTGGCACACCGTAGTTCAACAGCAGGCTGTACTCTTTTTGCCCAAAGGGGTAGCTAATGATTTTTGGGTGAGTCTGCAGGTGCCAGACCCCCCCTCCCCCAACAGAGACCCCAAACTCAATTTCTTAGACCCCCAGGACTCAAAGCGGAGAAGGATACAGCCAGTCACAGGCAGACCCACCTCGGGCTAAGAGAGCCATTTACAAAACAGTAAGGGGCATTTGAGCCTCCTTTGGAATTCAGTTGGCTTTTGAGTTTTTTCTTCTTAAAGAAACAGGGTGTCCCCAACAGGCTTTAAGGAGCTTCCCTAGGGATGAAATTTACCAAGGCCATCTTGGAGAGGCTTTGCAGTTGTTACTACTCTTGCCCCTTTGCTCCAGGTGGGAAATGAAGAGCGTACCCAGACCTTTAGGTCCCTGAGACCCGGAGAGTAGTCACACGCCATTTCAAGCATCAGAGATCTGAGCAAATGCTGGGAAACCTGGGAAATCATGGTGAAATGTGGTCACAAATCATGGTCTGGCAGGCGTGGAGCAGGGAGGCCAGAGGAACCTCAGAGAACCTCAGCATCTGAGCAGGATTGCGGTGCTGGGTACTGCCGGACCGCGGGCTACTGGCGAACCACCGCCCGAAGGAAGTTGCTGCTCAGAGTCCAGCAAATTCTGCAATCCATATTTAGAGCCAGCAGCATACAATTCCTCTTCACTTCCTAGCTACCGGCAGCCCAATCCTGTACTTGGGCTCAGGGCTTTTGGTGATCTTGGGGGAACCCTAAAGGGACCAAACTTTATCAGGAATCCCAAAGCTTAATTCCAGGGTTGAAAAAAAGGCGAGTTGTGCTCTCTTTGACCAAGGAGTGAGTCCATTCTCATTCTTTGAGGGGCTATGTCCGTCCTAGTGCTCTGGCCTCTGGTAGACAGAGTCATCACGAAGCAGCAGGAGGGCAGTAGGTAAAAAAGGAATATGGTAATTCTTTTGGCTCTTTGGTCTTTTCCTACCCCGTGGGTCTTCTCTTAAAGGGGCAGAAGATCTCCAGCCAGGCTTAAAGGGCAGTTTAAGTTTGAAACACCGAGTTCAGCCTGGGAGAAGTGGAGGGCAGCGGGGTGTGTGTGTGTGCGTATGTGAGTGTGTGCACACGCGCGCGTACGCACGCACGCAGGTATTCATTCTACTCTCTCTCTGATGGGGACCCACCCAGTGGGAGCCACAGACTTTTGGAGTGACACTCAAGGCGTTCTGAAACTGAGCAGGACCCTGTGGGGCCCTCCAGGGTACAAAAGCCTTTCCATGTCCCCCGTTCCCTGTTTGTAGAGAAAGGCTGGAGTCTCCTAGACTTTCCCTGATTTTCAAAGTGTATAGATTCAAGGAGTTACTAATTAGGGAAGTGAAGGAATGCAAAAACAAAGGAAAAGCAGTCCAGAAACAAGTGTAGCAATAAAACAGAGTCCTAATTCCTCCTCGAGGGGCAGACATAACAATCTGACACTTATCTTTGAGTTGTTCTGCAGGAACTAAGCCCCCCACCCAGGTGGAGGATGGTTATTGTATGCTGAGACCCCAGACTGGTCGGAACCAGAAGGCTGATGATTGAGATTCCTGGAACACCACTGTTACCTCACCACCAACAAGTCAGTCACGCACCCTGCAGCCATCACCCCAAATTTTGCCCTTAAAAACTTCCCTGAAAACCATTGGAGAGTTCGGGTCTTTTTTTTTTTTTTTTTTGCGGTACACGGGCCTCTCACCGCCGTGGCCTCTCCTGTTGCGGAGCACAGACTCCGGACGCGCAGGCCCAGCGGCCGTGGCTCACGGGCCCAGCCGCTCCGCGGCATGCGGGATCCCCCCAGACAGGGGCACGACCCCGCGTCCCCTGCATCGGCAGGCGGACTCCCAACCACTGCGCCACCAGGGAAGCCCGAGAGTTTGCGTCTTTTGATCACGAGCTGCCTGTCTCTTTGCTTCACCCTGCAATAAACCATTGTCTGCTCAAAAAAAAAAAAAAAAAAAAAAAAAGATGAGTATGTTCTGAGGGTCTA